GGTCATCAGGGTATGTCAGAATATGCTGGAATCAGGCTACAGAGTGACCTATGTATGATAAATCTCCTCTGCTTCCAGGTGTCCTCAGTGGGTTGGGTGCTGGGTGCACTGCCATGCCACTCTGTACCCCAGGCCATTGCTCCAAAAGCAGGAGACTAACTTTTAGCTGTGTGAGTTGTGCCGACACCAAATAGCTGAAGCACAGATGGTTCAGTGGCAGAAACAGCATCCTAAGGCACACAGATTGACTTCCTTGCTTTGGCATGTTCTTGCCATATGGCACTGAAGTCCTGTTCTCCGTGTAACAGGAGCCTCACCTGCCCAAAAAGCCAGTCCTCTGTGTTAAGTTCTGTTGCAGTGCACCTGGGAGAGCTCCACTGCGGCACAGTGGTGGGACAGGTCAGAAATGTGTCTGCTTAACACCCAGAAACAGAGACCTGCTGCTTTTCCCTAAGCTTCTCCAGAACAGCTGTGGACAGCCATGGTGCTGGTGGCCTCGTCCACAGGGGGACGTGGGATACAGGCATTGCTCACCCCAGGGGAAACAACAGCAACACAGAACCTCAGAGCAGCTTCAGCAGCAGGACCAGCCATGAAGGGGTCCTGAAATGATTGTGGAGCCCAGGGAAGCTCCCTCAACCCCAGCTGTAGTCTCAGGGGATTTATATGATTAGCTGTGGTCATGGTGGGCCATTCCCTGTCCCTGGCAATGAGAGGCAGCCCAGGCCTTGGCTCCAAGCCTTGAACGTGGCACTGGCTGGGCAGGAGCAGCACAGGATCCTCTGAGTGCTGTATATCCCTGCCCATGCCAGGGGGATTGGAGCAAGAGGATCTTTGAGGTCTCTTCTGACCCAAACCATTCTAAGATTCCTGAATGGGAAGGCTTTAGGTTTTGCACTGTTTTCTTTCTGTTTGAGGGAGGGGAATGAGTTTGGGTTCTAAGAAACAAACCAACACCAGTCTTAGAACAAAAGCAGTTCTGATTTTTCCCCAGTGTGTGGATTTCTAACAGCAGTGAAGCCCCATCTTTCCAAGGGGTATTTGAGGGCTGGAGTGCCCACTCCCCTCAGTACAGAACTGGCAGCCATGGAGCAGGATGGCCATAACTCCCAGCTCCTCAGGAAACACAGCTGCACTGAGAAGATTCGTCCTGTTAAGAAGCTTCCTTTAGCAGACTCGAGCCAGATTACCTCACCTGGCTTTTGTTTTAAGCCCTTTCCTCTCTCAGTCTCTCTCAGCCTGGTTATCCTGTTCCTGCAGCGGGCCAAACTTGTTGTCTTTATTGCAGCCTCTTGAGTCTTCATGGAGAGCCAGGTCTGCTCACAGTGACACATCAGATATTTCTGGTTTGAGCCAAGGCCCGTGCTGGTTTTTTTTTTTGAAAGGGAAGGAGACCTTTACTGGAATCCTGCAAGGTTTTATTTGATTTCCTCTGCAGTCATGAGCAGTGGTAACTGCTGTAGGTTCCCTTATGGTGATGATTCCTCCCACTGGTCCCTGGTTTTCACACTCAGGCTGAAGGTGATCCCTTGAGCTCAACTCAGCAGTGTCTGATGGTCCAGCTGCCACTTTCTAAGGAGGTTGACCCATCTCCTCTCCCTTCCAACCTGAAGGCGTTCAAAAGGAAGTGATAAAGTTGATATTTTCATTGTACAGACATGATCTATCCAAGTTCTTCACGTGTTTTTGTCTTTTAAAATATGTGCTCCCCTGAGACTCGGCTCAGGGGCTGAGGAAGTGTGTTACTTGTGATCACATCTTTGAGACACCTCAGTGTGGTAACACAAGAATGTGTTTGTGAGGAGCTTGTCGCGAAGTCTGGAGTTTATCAGTCCACTTCTTACGTGGTAGAAAGATAAAATTAGTTCCACAGAAAGAGAGATTTTGGAAATGACACAAAATCCCTCTGGTAGAAAAAGGAGTAATGGTTTGCAGCCATCAGGTATTTCAGATCACACAAGGGGATCAGTACTCCAGATGGAAATACCAACATTCATTGTGCAGTTCACCTCCCCCTGATGAGGGGAGGTGCTTCCAGAGGTGCTGTAGCTTCATCAGCCTGTGTTTGGAGCTGCCAAAAATGTGGTTTTGCAAAGACAAGGAGAACTAAAACTCCACTCTTACCCAGGAGGATGATAACAGGGAGATGGAAGGGAATTAACTTGTTGGTCAAGAAAACTTCTGACTCCCCTCCTCAGACTTTGCAGCTGCTCCACTCCTGAGAGTTTCCTTCAGGTCCCACATGAACATTTGTTTGACATTTAGGTTTAGGACTCCTTGTCTGCGTGTCTGGCTCTGAGCATGCTGGTGCTCAGTCCTGGGAGCTGCCTGCTGGTCTTTGGCTTCTGCCCAGGAGAGGGGTCAGTCAGCTCATCAGAGCACAGTTTGAGAGGAAAACCAGGGGTTTTCCCTGAAAAAAACCAGGAAAAACCAGTGCGTTTAGACCAGCAAAAGTTCTGGCGTCCGTAGGTCGGGCAGAAAGCTGAGAAGTCTGCTGTGAAAAGCAAAAGTGGTCAGAGGTCTCAGATCATGCGCTGACAGTCCTCTCATTGCTCAGGTGGGCTGAAAGTGCCTTTCTTTCTCCACCACAGAGATTAAAAATCGCAAAAGAAGATGTTAAATGAGCAGGCTGAGGTTGAAGAGGTTCTTCCCCCAAAGGGTGGTTGGCACTGAACAGGCTCCCCAGGGCAGTGGGCACAGCCCCAAGGCTGCCAGAGCTCCAGGAGGGTTTGGACAACGCTCTGAGGGACAGGGTGGGATTTTTGGGGTGTCTGTGCAGGGCAGGAGTTGGACTGGATGATCCTTGTGGGTCCTTTCCAACTCAGGATGTTCTGTGACTGTACGATCCGCTCATGATGTGTCTGTGCTGGTTTCCTGATGGGGCTGGGATGCCACTGGATGCTCCCATGTAACCCATGGTGCACAGATGGGCTTCCAGAACGGAGCCTGAACCTCCAGCTGGGAGGCTGGAATGGCAGCACCACCATCACCCATGATGGGCAGAAGCCTGTAGTGCTGCCCTTGCATTTCCTGAGGGAATCATAAAGGACAGCTCTTTATTGCTGGAAACACTAATAGTGCTTGATGGAAGGATGAGTGGGAAGGAAACCTCAGCTGGAGCAGAGGTTACATGGAAGGGATTTTTACTGGCTGCAGTGGTCATGGTGCTCCAGACCTGTGCTTTTGTGGGGAAAAAAATCAATGACTGCAGGCGCTTTACATCCTGAGAAACCATCAGGATTCACTCCTGGCTGTCCCATGGGATTTCCAAGAAGCGTCATTCTCACAGTCCTCTGGCAATATGCAGAGTCCCCTTTTTTGCCCCCTGTCCTAATCTGTGGGGTATGTATCCGACCTCATAAAACCATTTTTCAGCTTCACCGTTTGTAGTTTTCTCCCTCTGCTCTCTGGAAGCCTCTGGCCTGCTGGCAGCAGCATTGTCCAGCGAGGTTTGAAGCTTGGCACGCTGTCAACAAACCTTCAGCTCCCCTTTCAATCAAACAGGGGAGTGCTGAGATCCAACTTGGATTCCATCCCAAGGTTCACCATAATCATCCCTGTATAATAGGAAGTCCAAACAACCCCAGGAAATAATTCAGATGTGACTGGTGCCTTGAGTGGAATAAAGAGAAGTGCCTAGAAGAGACATTAAGAGCCTCAGCTTTAACTCTTTTCATGATTATGCGCTCTGAAGGAGCGAGAGCTTTGGAGATAACGGGATTACATGCATCTCATGAGGTCTGCAGAGATGGGACAGCGTCTTCCACCCCCCATTTTCTCATTTTTTTTTAACTGCCATTGCAGTTGCCACATTTGGGGGAAGAATGTTGCAGAGCAGGCTCCCCTCTAACCCTGCAGGTCCCTTCCAATCTGGCACAGGTAAATTGAATCCGTCTCCCCTTAGGGATGAGCTTTTGGAAGAGCCTGTTGGTTAGAGCAGTGGGGGTGAGAATTTAATTGGATTAAGATGCATTTCAGCGGTGTTTGTGCTGTGGGCTGTGTTTTGTGGCTGCCGAGGGAGCCACACTCAGAGCTGGGCATGCCCTGGGGTATTCTTCCAGCCCTGGCTGCCTCTGTGCTGCCCAAGGAAAAAGCTCATGCCTCAGAGGTGTGGATCTCACTGTAACCCAGCACAGGGTCACCAGGGCGTGAACAAACCATGTCTCGAGCTGGTGTCCTGCTTCTGGCTGTGAACCAGCACCCACAGCCAGGCAAGGGCTCAGCTTCTCCCTGCCAAGCCCAGCAGCCGGGGCAGGGATGTGGTGGGGAGGGTCCAGCCGGGGCAGGGATGTGGTGGGGAGGGTCTATCTGGGCACCCCACCTTCACTCAGCTCTTTCTTGGGGTCTGGGTGCCTTTGGTCTTTGCATCTTATATTTTGCATCTTATATTTTGATACCATTATAAGTGCTCGTTTGCTTTTCAATGTCTTTGTCATTTTCAAGGTTATTTAAAGCTTTGCTTCTCTTCACAACTTCCTCCATGAGAAAGTTGCACATTTGTTAGTTTCCAGTAAACATTTCCTTCTCCCTGGTATATACTTGGGAGTTTTGAGTTTTGTAGGTTTGCTCTGCTGCACTGGGAAGGGATAATTTGGAGTTCCCAGTTCACTCCCTTCACGCTACTCGTTATTTTATGTGCCTCTCATGTGGTCTCTCTCCTTTTCATTACTAATCAGGTCTAGTCTTTTCAATCCTCCTTTGTGTGATAGTTTCATTTTACAAAAGCTGAACTAGTTTCTATCAGCTCAGTTGATGTGATCTTACTCATATCAAAGGTGTTTAACAGCCACAGTCCCGTGTACTCACTGCAAGCTGAACTTAAATTGTGTCAAGTTCTGCACTGCTTTGCCATGGCAAGTGGGAATGTTTGTTACAGCTGTCTTTAAATTTAAATTTGGATGTTTTAAATGAATTAAATATGAACATGAATAATGCAGCTGGTAACGTAGCCTTTCTGCAATTAAATGCAAACTTTTTCATTTTGTCTCTCTTGCTTTCAGGTTCTGCTATGCCGCAGTGTTTGTACTGACTCTGCTGTCTTGGAGGAGTGATGGGGAACTAGAGCCCATGACAGTTCAGTGGAGCCCTTGGCACTTTTGATATCTCGGTGAGTGAAAGTTGTTTGAAACTGTGGGAAAGGCACTTTATCTGCTACTAAAGGCAGCAAATCAGTTGGCCTTTTTACATTTTTAAGGTAGCATCCTGCTGAAATGAATTTGCACATTGATCTGTCCTTTCAGGTTATAAATTCTGGAAACCAACACTGTAACGCTGTGGTCCGTGCTTGGGAGATTATTTTGATCTCCATAAGCAGGAGAAACACAGCTTTTGAAAACAAGGGGAGTTTTAACTCTGGTGTGCAGTTCTGTACAATTGCCAGGTTCTGGAGGTGGAGCATTGCAGCGTGTGCTGGGCTGTGGGAATCTCAAAGGCTGTATTTGATGCAGCAGTAAGATTGTGTCCTTTGTGCCATGGACCAAGCCAACAGCTCCCCAGCAGTGGCATGTTTGTGTCTGAGGTCATTCCAGATCTGTCTCTGTGGATGCATCACTTTCCCCCCCCTGGATACCAAACTGTATCTTCTGCTAGTTATTACTTTCACATTTTTTTGGTCTGCAGTCCCTGAATGGAGCAAAGGCCGCGTCCGTCGGTGCCGCGGTGCTCCTGTCCTGCAGTGCCCGTGACAGCCTGTTCTGCCCTTCACTTCCTTCCCTCTACACTGAAGTCTGTCCTCACGGGGGCATTTCAGCCTCGTGGAAACCTTTGGAGTGATTCCTCTTGCTTTCCAATCTGTTGTCAGTGAGATAAAATCCTTGGGTGTTTCAGGTTGAAAGGAGCTTTTGGAGGTTGTCAGGTCCAGCACCACATGCAGAGCTGGCCTGGCTTTGAAGCCAGACTCAGTTACAAGGTTAGATCAGGCTGCTTGGGGAGGCAGCTGGTGATGTTTGGAATATCTCCAAGGGTGGAGATTTTACAGCTCCTCTGGGCAACTATAAATTACAATCAGTGGGAATTACCAATTCCCAAGCCCTGTGTTAGTAAAACCCAGGGGCAGCAGAGGGGCAGCTCCGATCTCTGCTCTCTGTGACCAGTGACAGGACCCAGGGAATGGCTGGAGCTGTGTCAGGGCAGGCTCAGCTTGGATCTCAGGGAAAGGTTCTTCCCCCACAGGCTGGTTGGGCACTGAACAGGCTCCCCAGGGCAGTGGGCACAGCCCCAAGGCTGCCAGAGCTGCAGGAGGGTTTGGACAACGCTCTGAGGGACAGGGTGGGATTGTTGAGGTGTCTGTGCAGGACCAGGAGTTGGACTGGATCCTTTTGGATCCTTCCTAACTGTGACTTTGCTCCATCACCCCCCTGGGCAGCCCATTCCAATACCTGACATCCCTTCCTGTGAAGAAATTCTCCCTGATGTCCAACCTGAACCTCCCCTGGCACAACTGGAGGCTGTTTCCCCTTATCCTGTCACTTATTACCCAGGAGATTGACCCCACCTGGCTCCACTCTCCTGTCAGGGAGCTGTAGAGAGTGAGAAGGTCCTCCCTGAGCCTCATTAGGGTTATTCCCATTGCAGGAGGGTGGAGGGTACAGGAGTGCACCCTCCTCTCCAGCCACAGGCTTCCACAATCCTGTGTGTGTAGGTGCTTCAGAAAGTCCCACAGACAGCAGAGGGGCAGTACCAGAGATCGCAGGTGCTTGTCTGGTGCCTTTATATGACACCTTTCAGACTGGGTTTTATGTCTGGGGGACTTTTCCTGCCAGACTGCCAGCCTTTAATAAAAATGAATGAAGAAAATTATGAAAAGAAGCTTTAAAAGTTGTAAATAACCTTTCACATGCAAGTTACCTTCCACTATTGAAAGGGAAAGAAACTTTACTCCTTTCACAAGTGTGTACAGACACACACACTATTTAGAAGAGAGGCAATAAGTGACTACTGTGCACCTTTTAATTTGGATTAAAAAAAAACACCAGGGATATTTTTCCTTTAGTATTTAATTCTTTCTATATTTTTCTTCTCAGAGTATTGCTCAGTGTTGCATCTAAAGGCTGTAGTTTATAGTGCTGTTATAGAAAATTAAAGTCTTTATTTCTCTTAGGTTTGGAAAAAGCCTGGTTTTCAAAATCCCAAGTTCTTGCCAAGTTGGAGCTGTAAATAACCCTTTAAGCAGCGACTCGGCGCTGTGTCCTGAGACAGCTTCCTCTTCCATCCTCTCCCGACTGCCCCACTGTGAACAAAATGGAGTTATATTGGCACAATTAATCTTTCATTAGTTAGTGGAGTGTCAAAACATGCTTTTCCTGCTTTCCCGAGGGCTTGTTTGTGGCTCAGCCATTCATTGGGGTGTTTCCTGGCAGGCCCTGGCGAGGCTCGGCGTGTGCAGTGGGCACTGCCCTGGGAGAGCGGCTGTGCCGGCCCCTGGGCTCCCTCCATGTGCCCAGCACACATCTCCCAAGAGCCCTGATTTTCAGGAATATTTGCTTATAACAAGAATGCAAATGCTTCTACTTATTGGGGACAGTCCAGCCAGTTTTCCTCCAACCAGGAAAAAAGAATTTGCGGCACAACTTGGACGCTTGGGGCAGTGCTAACAGCAAAAGTATTTCCTGGGTCACTGTCCAATTTCTCATCCTTATTCCCCAGAACTTCTCTGAGCTATTTGAATTGCGAATGGGGAGCTGGGGATTGCTGTGCTGCTTTGCCAGAGTTAATGTTATGTTTCCATGTGTTTTCTTTCATAAATTTCAGCTCTGCCTCCCTTTGTTTGTGAGTGGGAGCAGCCCCTCCTTCCACACACATGCTCCAGATCCCCTGTGGGGTGAGCACAGAGATGGGCATGTGCTCCTTGTGCTGATTTATGCTGCTCCTGCTGCCATGAATTTGAAGTTGTCCACAAATTGGAGAAAGTCCTGTAGTTTGAGGGGGTGAAATGAACTGTGAGTGCTCTGTGCAACCCCGGGTGACAGGGCGTGTGTTTCCCGTGTGTGATGAGTTCATGGTGCAGATGACTGTGTGCTCCAGAATGGGGAATTTTCTCATCTTTATTTCTTTTGTCCTAGACACCTTCAGTTCTCTAAGAGCAAGCCAGTCCCGGGATCAGGGCAGCAGCAGGTGGTAGAATGCGGAAACCAGGCCCTCAGAAAGGTGAGCAGTGATGTTTGGCACAGCCAAGGGCTGGTCGGGAGCTGGTACAGCCTGGAGGACCCAGGGCCTCAGGGGGCAGGAACGGGCTGGGAGATGTGGTTGGAAGCCCAAAACCTGCATGTTTCTCCATCAGTGTGCAGAGAACAGTCCATCAATCCACCCCCAGCATGGGCTGAGCACAGTCCCTTTTTGGGGCACCCCTGCGGCTCGTGGGGCACAGCGAGGGTGCTCTGCAGAACCCACGGCACACACCATCTGCCAGTGCTCCCAGTGTGAGGCAAACTGCCTCTGCTGGGACAGGCCTCCCCCTTCTGATGAGGCATGAAACCAGAGACCAGCCTACCTCGTGGAGAGGGAATCTGTCCCAGGCTCATCGTGTCCCTCGGTCCCTCACAGTGCTACCTGGGCTGTGCATCACCCAACAACCCACAGCCTGCTGCCTGCAGCTGAGCTGCTCTGGCTTCTTGTGCTTAACTAAACTATTGATTTCCATTAGTGCTGTGCCATGTGTTGGGCTGCAGTGATCTCATCACACGCTCCCGAGGCTGGGGGGAGGGAGAGCGGGAGGACAGAGCATCCTCGGCAGCCCTTTGTTCACATCTGCTCCTCACTCCCAAGCTTTATTGCAGGAGGTTTCTGTGCTCGATTTCTCTCCTCCCTTTATGTTTTTCAAGTGTCTCCTTTGCTTCTGTGGTGGTTCATCTTACAGCAGCATTAGCCTCTTCCTAACGCTGCTTGTCCTTTAATGAAGTGAAAATAAATGAAGGAAAGCAGGGAATGGGGAGACCCTGCTGCGAGGCAGCTGCAGGGCTTGGCAATAAAGGAGGCAGGTTGATTAGTCAGCAGTGTGGCTGTGGACTGGGCTGGCTGGATTTAGCCTCACACACAGCTTGTTCTCTGTGCTCATGGAGCCTGGTGCCTCCAGCCAGCCTGGCTGTGTGACCTGTGCTGCCAGTGCTGTGACACAGGTTGCAGAGGCAACACCTGCATCATGCACACATGGGTTTCTGTCCTACTTACCTGCTTTTTTAATAATGCATTGAACTTTCACTGTTTCTTTATTTGTCTGCAGAAATTGTTGTGTTTCTCTCCCTCTCTGCTGCTTTTGTATCATGCTTAATGAGGATTTTTGCATGTTAAAGGTTAAGAACAAAATGTACCTTCGCCTGCAGAGTGTGGTGAGAGGCTCCTTTGAGTGCACAGATGCTGTTAGAGCTGTCCTGCAGCACGGAAGGGAGCCTTACCCGCTCAGGGGGCTCTTGGCTTCTGACTTAAATACTTTATGTCCTTTATTCTTGCTTTCTTAGGGACATGGCAGAAGACTGTCCTTCATGGTAATGCATTTGTAGGAAGGGTGTCCTTCAATCCTTTTCATTCATTTATGTCTCTCCAAGGAGGGTCTTTGTCTGGTCCGTGTTGCTGTGGCCACACTCCATATGCCCCTCATGTTCATTTAAGGGATGCTGATCTGGCATCCCTCCGTTGGGATGGAGGCTGTTGGAGGCAGGGATGAGCATTCCCTGCTCCTTGCTCTATCCCTTTCCAGAGCTGTCTTGGGAATTTTAATTTTTTTGGAACTCTGAGGCCCAAAGCTGTCATGAGCAAAGGCAGCTCAGACGAGCTGCTCTCCAGAGCTGGTGCTGCTTTGCTGTGCCCTCCTCTGAGCTGCACAGGACACATGGAAACCCCGTGTTGTGTGTGGAAAGGGCAGTTGTGCAGATTTGCAGGGAGGTCCTCTCCCCATCTCCAGAGAGGGCTAAGGCTGTGTGTGTGAAATCACCAGGAGCTGATACCCAAGGAGAGATTCAGGCTCCACTTCTCGGTGCCCAAGATCCACATGAGCCGTTTCTAGTGGCTGTTGTGTTTGTTCCTCTCGAGCTCTTGTTCTCGTAGCTAAAATGAGCTCTAGCAGTTTGCTGCTCTTTGTGTTATTGCTGATCACTGGGGGAGAGCAGTGGCTGGTGGGGACTGGGCAGGGACTGGGGTGCAAATGCAGGTACCTCGTGTCAGGTATCTGCATGAGCTGTGGGGAGGAAGGGAGCACCCCCCAGAGATGGGGGCAAATCATCCACAGTCACCTGGGGGCAGGGCAGGGAGCTCTGCTCTTCTCAAGTGCCTGTAAAGCAGGCAGAGTTGAAGGGTGCATTAGCTGGCTCCTTTCCCTCACACAAATGCTCTATTTCTTGTCTCAGCCATAGACTGGAAAGATGGTAAGAAGCACAAGCACAGCCGCCCGTCAGAGTCTCCCTCCCAGTACCAAGGTAAGTGAGCTCCCTTCCCCACTTCCTCCTCCCCTTCTCCCTCCCTGCTTCTTCCTTCCCCCTGCTCTCTCTCCCCCAGCTCACATGGGCTGGATATACTCAGCTTTTGGGGTGTTGGGGGCTCCACTGCAGTTTCCCTCCGCTCCACGTCCTGCACCATCTGCAGATGCAGAGGATGGGCTGTTTCTCAGTGGCCACACTGACCTGAAATGGAGCTTTCTGTGCATGGCAGCACTCATGGTGACCCAGCACACCAAGCCCTGCACCCACTGCATGCCAGGGCTGTGGCCTGCAAGGGAAGGCTGCAGGTGGGCTGGGGTGCACACGGCTGCTCCACAGGCATGTGGTGCAGCAACGAGGGTCAGGGATCACCTCCCTGCAAGAAACTCATCACTACCCCGAATTCGGGGGTACATCCTGTTAGAGTTGGGGCCTGGAGAAGAGAAGGCTCCAGGGAGAACTTGGAGCCCTTTCCAGGGCCTAAAGGGGCTCCAAGAGAGCTGGAGAGGGACTTTGGACAAGAGCCTGGAGTGACAGGACGAGGGGCAATGGCTTCCCACTGCCAGGGGACAGGGTTAGATGGAACACTGGGGAGAAACTCTTGGCTGTGAGGGTGGGGAGGCCCTGGCACAGGTTGCCCAGAGAAGCTCTGGCTGCCCCTGGATCCTTGGAAGTGTCCAAGGCCAGGTTGGAAGGGGCTTGGAAAAATCTGGGCTAGTGGAAGGTGTCCCTGCCAATGGCAGGCGGTGGAACAAGATGAGGTCCTTTCAACTCAAACCAGTCTATGATTCTGTGATTCTGTAGAGGAGGTGAACCTGCAGCATCTTTCTGGCATGGCTGGAAGGATTTCTGTTCAAAGCTAACAATGAAGTGGGACACCTCTGAGGAGGAGCAGAGCAGACCAGACAGTCCTGGAGGTTGAAACCTCTTAGTTTTGACTCGCATGTTTTGCTGAGCAGGACAGGGAGTGATGGGGCTCCTGTTCTGGGCTGTAGCTGTTCCTAGTGGAGCATGTGCAGCCAGACTGATGGCTGGGCAGAGTGCCTGGGAATGGGAACGGTGGGACAGGCAGGAACTGTGCAGAGCCAGTGGCAGAGCTGACCCCCAGGAGCCGCATTCAGACGTCAGGGACAGCCACCGTCACTGGGTCTGCGAGCCCAGACGATGCTCTGCTCGTTTTCATACTGTGCTGCTTTCATGTGCTGCCTTGCTGCTCCTTAGCAGCCACACATATGGGCTGCAGACTTTAATGGGATGCCTTGATCTGGGTAGGGCACGTTCTCCTTCACAGCTGTGACCTGAAACGCACATGTATTGTTTCAGTTGGATTGATGACCCCTCGGGAGCCAAAATGCTAATGGAGCCCAAACCAGACTTCAGTTACAGATATAAACAGAAACTCCATCTTCATTTAAATTCTGGGCAAAGGTTCAACGTTAAATGCAACATGAAGAGAATCCAAACATGAGGGTGCAGAGCTGCATTGTTCACAACTACTGGAGTTTGACCCCTTGAGTGTGCAGAGTGTTTTGTTTGGAGTAAATATATTTGAAGGTTAAGACATCAGAGCCCAAATCTGACTCTCTGCCTGCAAGTAATACCTCCCTTTGGCATGAGCACACGGCAGGGAGCTTTCCCAAGGCAAGCACAAGTGACAGACCGTCAGCCCGGTGGCATTTCCAGGGCTGAGTCCCAGGGAGTCACACAGGTTCACAGTCCTTGGCTTTACTTTGGCTCACAGATGTTACTGCAAAAACGGGATGTTTCTCATGAAGTGTTTTTCTCCCCTTTTTTCCTGTGAAAAAGATCTGATGTGCTGGAGAGGGACTTTGGGCAAGGGCCTGTTGTGCCAGGACAAAGGGGAATGACTTCCCACTGCTAGGGGACAGGGTTAGATGATATTAGGGTGAAATTCTTCCCTGTGAGGGTGGGGAGGCCCTGGCACAGGTTGCCCAGAGAAGCTGTGGCTGCCCCTGGATCCCTGCAAGTGTCCAAGGCCAGGTTGGATGGGGCTTGGAGCAACCTGGGCTAGTGGGTGGAATGAAATGAGCTTTAAGGTTCCTTTCAATCCAAACAATTTTATGATATGATTCTCTGTGTGTTACCTGGAGGGACAGTCCTTCCCAATGGGGATCCTTCCAGTGGTGTGCTCTGCAAGGCAGGGGAGGGAACATGAAAGAGCAGGCAGAGACCAGGTGAAATAGAGGGTGATTTTAGAGCTGGTAGGACAGTTTGCATATGGTACTGGAAGCAGCAGCACTGGAGCAAGCATTCTCCTTTGCTTTTGGGGGCTGGAGAGGATTTCAATCCCTACAGTCAGCTCTGCCCTTGGACACTCCTGCTCCATCACCAGTAAAAAGGACTGGCTGATGTTTTTTCAGGAAGCAAAGTGATTCACTGGCAAGTGGGGAAAAGCCCTCACTGTTTTTTGACCAGCACTCAGGAACCAGGGTTACATGTCCAGGCCAGATCAGAAACAAACATCTTGCATGCTAAAATGTCCTGTCCCTCTGCAGTAAGGCATCCAATTTATTAATATGGATAAGAATATAAAATGCAAGACAGTTGGTCAGTGCTAAGGAGAAAGCTGGGTAAGATATTTTTCCCTCTTGCCTTCCAACCTCCGTCCCCAGCGAGCCTGCAGAGTGGCATCAGCAGCACAGGCAGCTGAGGTGTTCCGGCTGCTGTGCTGGCTCCAGGGGAGACCTGTCTGGAGCTGGGTGTGGAGAGTGAGTGGGGATCAGTGTGGTGAGCAGGATTTGGGTACAGCCCAGGGGAGCTGAGGTTGAAAGGGTCGGGTGTGATGTGTCCCTTTTCAACCACATGCCCTTCCTCAAGGACAGAGCTCAGGGCTTGTGTTCTGCTTCCCCATTAACAAACCCTCAGTGCATCCTGCTTTTTCTGTTTTATTGGCAGTCAACCCTTTGTTGTAAAAAACCCCCAACTTCAGTGTTATGCCATTTTCGTCTGATTCTTCCTGCTGATTGCATTTGATTAAGTTTAAGTGTACTTTGAAATTCCTTCTTGAAAATATTGTATTGTGAGCTGGATACTATTACTGAATTCATTTAAACCCATTCCCTACATTCTGTGCAGGATCTCCTCTCATGCTAAGGGAGTGATGACAGCCTCCAGTTGCAGTTTTATCCTGGTTTGAGAGTAATCCTGAAAAAGAAGCACAGGCTCTACCTGTGCTGGTTGTACCATCTGTGCAGGGGAATGGCCAGTAGTGAACAGAGAGGGAGGGAGGGAAGGCTGAATGCTTCTGTATCAGCTCTGTCTTTTCTTAGAAGTCTTTCTGCTGCTCTTGTTTTTCTGTGCAAAATAAATCACCAGAACCACGAGTCGTAAGACTCAGAGAACCACAGAACATCCTGAGCTGGAAGGGACACACAAAGATCATCCAGTCCAACTCCTGCCCTCCACAGACACCCCAGCAATCCCACCTTGTTCCTCAGAGCATTGTCCAAAGCCTCCTGCAGCTCTGGCAGCCTTGGAGCTGTGCCCACTGCCCTGGGGAGCCTGTTCAGTGCCCAACCAGCCTGTGGGGGAAGAACCTTTCCCTGAGATCCACCCTGAGCCTGCCCTGACACAGCTCCAGCCATTCCCTCAGGTCGTAAAGAACTTGCAGTTCTAGTGTTGTGTGTCTTCATATGGTGGTTGAGTCCCAATGGGCTCTAGAATTAATCTCAAATAAGTTCCATGTCCAAACACTATTTTTGGGGGCCCACAACTGTCTCAGGAGTTCACTGCTCCCGCTGGGATGGTGCAGAGTGGATCACCTGTGGGGTGAGCTGCTGTGGGAAGCGGGAGGGCCTTGCTTGGTGTGGAGGGAGTGAAAAGTGGAAAGATTAAAATGGATTGAAACCAGCTGAGGAGAGGGGAGGTTTGGTGGTTTTTTAAATAAAATTGTCAAGCACAGCTGATCCTGCTCAAGCTGCTGGATCAGGGCCTGGTGCAGTCACCTGGGCATCCCCTGTGCTCCAGGACCTCTGAAGGACTGCCCTGGCCCGAGATGAGCCCAGATCAGCAACCAGAGTTAAGGGGTGGGATGAATAAGGCATTTTCAGGTGGGGAGTACCTGGCTTTGCTTTGCTTGGGTGTTTACTCCACATTATTCATGCAAAGAGTTTCATTGACATAATTGAATGTAAAATTGTATCTTCAATTAAACAAAAAGATTTTTGGTTTTATGAGAACATCATTGCAGTAACTCACTGAATTTCTTCATTCACCCAATGTGAGGCTGTGGCTGAAAGGAAAATATGTGCCGGTGGATGGAACAGAGTACTCTGGGGCATGGAGAGCTGCTGTCAGTCTGTAAACAGCAATATTCAGCCAGTGTGGCAATGAAACTGTATTTTTTCTGTTTATTTTCCCTATATTTAACAGTGTGCTAGTCATCTGCATGGGAGGTGGCAAGAAAGCAGCATTCCTTGTATTTATTTGGAGCTCATAGATGATGAAGGCTCCTCTGTGCACACAAGGCAGCTCTGAAGCAATGTGTGCTGACCTTACTGCCTGAATTTTCAGAGGTGTGGTGTGTGCTGCAGTAGCTGAAGTGGCTCTTAATGTAGCTTTTGTTTTGAAAATAGGCTGATTAAAAACTTGCCGTGACTCGGGGAAGTGGTAGCTGACTGTAATTGTGCTGCCACCAGTGCTCTTGAATTGCCTTGAAAACAGCAAGGTCTCCTGGGAGCCCTTGGGATGAATGCAAGTGAATGACATCCTGGAAGGATCCTCTCCCAGCTGCTCAGTTTAAATGGCAAAAGTCGTGATTTGCTCAGATCACAGGAGCTTTTAATTCCTCATTTAATAACAGGTTTCCCTGGGTGGCACGTTGCTGTCACCCTTCGTGCTGTGTGTGTGTGGAAGGGGCAGGCAGGGGGAAACGTGCTGCACTCAGTGGAAGGGGTCTTCGTTGGGTGCAAGGTGCTGAGCTCAGTAAATCCCTGTTTGGAGGATCCCTGCTCCAATCCTACCCGTGCTGTGGACTCTCTGGCCACTTCAGGGAGTTGTTTGCTGACCTGTGCACTGACTGCTGGGCTGATCCCTGCTCTGAGCTGCTGGGTGGGCGGTGTGTGCTGGACCGGGGGGACCGTGTAGTCACCACAGAGCAGGTCCCTGTTGATTTAGAATCATGGAATCACAGAATGGCTTGGGTTGGAAGGTGCCTTACAGATCATCTTATTCCAGCCCCCAGGTTGGGCTGTTCATAGCCCATGGTGACTGTTCATAAGCCCCCGACTGAGTGATGTGTTTAATGAATGGTTTTTAAGGGACAGTTGTCTGGAAGACCCTGCAGATTCCCATCTGTGCTGGGTGTTTTCCATTAAGCTGTAGGTTGTTCCCCTGGCTCTGTGCAGCCCCTTCTCAGCAGCACAGAGCAGGAAGATGCCGAAGGCAGCGCCAGGCTTTGTTCTGCCTGTCAGTTGCAGTTGTAAATCTTCTGTGCTCACAAACATCAGAGGTTCCTGATGAAAACATGTTGCCTGTGAGCACCTCCTCTGTGAGAAGTGCAGAACTGCTGGCGTCAGGAGTCCAGCCAGCTCTTCTTCTGAGAAATCTGCTCATCAGTTCCTGTTTGATTCCTTTTCTTTTCACTTCTCAGGTCACTTCACCTGGGAGAAATACCTGAAAGAGACATGTGCCATCCCAGCTCCTGCCCATTGCTTCAAGCAGGTAAGAAGGGGGAAATGAGAAAGGTCCACTGGAGACCCCCGAATTCTGTGCCTGGGATAGGCCCCTGGTTTGGCAAGGAAAATACTTAACAGAAATCCAAGTGTGCTGAAGCAAAGATTAAAAAGATACATTTAGAGTAGCAGAGGAGATTTTACTCTCAGATGTGCACTAGGGGAACATGAGTGTGCCTTTACTCTGCCGAGCAGAGGCCCTTGGGGAAGGGTCCTGAGTAGGCTGGGATCAAGCTTTTAGTGGATCCTGCCCAGTAAGGAGATTCTCTGCAGAATTCACCCATCTTTGTGAATGGAATAGCAGCCCCCTGGGCAGCAGGCATTGAGCAGAGAGGTGGTCATGCTGAGTACGGGGTTTGCAGGATGAACTGCTGGGCACTGGTAGGGCTACACCTCAAATTCTGGGTTCAGTTTTGGGCCCCTCACTATAAGAAAGACATTGAGGGGCTGATCCATGTCCAGGGAAGGGTCTGGAGCACAAGGAACAGCTGAGGGAGTTGGGGGGCTCAGCCTGGAGAAAAGGAACCTCAGCGGGGACCTTCTCGCTCCCTATAACAGGACGGTGGGGCTATGTGGGGGTCAGGCTCTGCTTCCAGGGAACAAGGGACAGGACAAGAGGAAACGGCCTCAGGTTGTGCCAGTGGAGGTTTAGGTTGGGTATCAGGGAAATTTCTTCACTGAAAGGGTGGTCAGGCCATGGATCAGGCTGTCCAGGGCAGTGGTGGAGTCGCCATCCCCAGAGCAGTTCGGAGATGTGTAGATGTTGGTGCCTGGGGACGTGGGTTAGTGGTGGACTTGGCAGTGCTGTGGGAATGGTTGGACTCCATGGTCTTAGGGGTCTTTTCCAACCTCAGTGACTCCATGATTCCAAGAGAACAGGCTCAGTGTAGTTGCTGAGATGGTGCAGTATGGAAGGAGAGTGCTGTGTGTCACAGAGCTGCCAGGGCTCACTGACCTTTCCGTGGTGCCTGTCCCTGCGCTGTGCCCAGAGGACGCCGTCAGTCCCGAGTGGGCCCCGTGCGTGAGCTTTGTGCCTGAGCTGGTGCGTGTGTTGGCAGTCCTGGCTCTGACCCTGTTCCTCTCCTTGCAGTCATACACTCCCCCTGCCAACGAGTTCAAGATCAGCATGAAGCTGGAGGCCCAGGACCCCCGGAACACCACGTCCACGTGCATCGCCACCGTGGTGGGGCTGACGGGTGCACGGCTGCGCCTGCGCCTCGACGGCAGCGACAACAAGAACGACTTCTGGCGCCTGGTGGACTCTGCTGAGATCCAGCCCATTGGGAACTGTGAGAAGAATGGAGGCATGCTGCAGCCTCCCCTGGGTGAGCTGCAGTTCAGCTGTCCAGCGAGGGCTTTGCTGATTATGGGCAAAACTTAGGGGTTTCTATAGGTCTGTGCTTGGGACAGGGGCCTGTGGCCTGCCCTGCCTGCACTGGGATATAGACAAGATACAGAACCAGATGTTTCCCAGACCAGGTCTGTATTTCCATGTGGACACTGTGATGTGGATGGGGAAATGCTTTAGAGTGTAGATGAAAGAGGTCTCTGCACCAAGGTGAGCTGCTTGCCCTCATTGCAGCTCAAGCTCAGGATTGTTGCCCAGAGAAGCTGTGGCTGCCCCATCCCTGGAAGTGTCCAAGGCCAGGGCTTGGAGCAACCTGGGTAGTGGAAGTTGTCTCTATCCATGGCAGGGGGGTGGAACTTGATGATCTTTTGAAGTCCCTTCCAGCCCAAACTGTCCAGTGACTCAACAGCAAGTTGCCTGGGCAGGAAACATAATGTGTGAAAAGGTTCCCAGTGATTTACGTCCTGTCTCATGTGAAGGGGCACTTGCAGTAGTTCCCGCTTATTTATTTAATTTTTCTTGGCTACAACTTTATAAATAGACTGGACAGTCCAACAGTTCTTCCAGTCTTGTCTTCAGATAAACACACAACTCTTTCCTTCTTTTTTGACACTAGCCATATGCTGAGCTGATTTGCTGATTCTTTCCTGATAATCAGTAAGATTAACCTGCTTTTGCATTCTGCTGCCCATTAGTTTTAGTGTCTTCATAAATCTCTCTCAATTAGCACATCCCCAAATAATACTTTTGAGGACAGGTTGGACGGGGCTTGGAGCAACCTGGTCTAGTGGAAGATGGCCCTGCCTGTGGCAGGGGGTGGAATGAGATGAGCTTTAAGGTCCCTTCCAACCCAAACCATTTTGTGATTTTATTAACACTAAAGCTGCCATTTTCTCTGTTATTTTCATGCCTGCTGCTGCCCATCTCTTAGAAATCTCGGTCCCTGGTGCAGGTTCCAGCTCTGGTGCCCTGCCCAGAGCCTGTGGGTACCTCTCCCAGCTGTGGGTTCCTCCTATACCTTGCCTGGCATTTGCCAGCAGATGGCATCAAGTTTAAGGAGCTGCAGATAAAACTCACTCCTGGCTGTGCTGGAGGTGAGGGATGAGCTCTGGGACAGGTCTGGGAGCTCCATCTGCAGAGGGGCTGTGCTGAGCCTTGCAACCCTGGCAAAGCTTTGACACGTTGCTTGTCATGGGCTGTTCTCTGTCCAGGCCCAGTCCCAGGGTTACATTCAGGACCCCACAAACACACACCAAACACAGCTAAGCAGCAGAAATTGCCTGTGCAGGAAGATGCACATTTAGCAGAGAAGCAGCTTTGTGATATCCAGAACCTCTTGTCAGTTGTGCAGTTGTTCTCAGTGCCACAGACTCAGAGCTTGTGAAGCTGTGGGTTTTTTTCTTCCCATAAGCCCCTTCTTGCTGTTTCTCTACTTTATTCACAGAAGGTGCTGAGCCAAAACTTGCCATCCTTCGCTGTAAGGGTTAAATCTGTTTCCCAGCCAAGTCACAGTCTCTATTTCTTCACCTTAGCTTGCCTGCAGCTCACAGTAAAGGTGGAGGAGGCCACCCAGAAGGTGTGATTCCCTATTGAGGAAGAAATTCCATAGGCTGAGTGTGCACTTGCTGATTCATGTCTCCCCTTGGCAGGATCCCTGGAGCTGCCAGCACTGGCACAAACTGCTCTGCCTGGATGGTCCATGGGCAGGCTTTTGTTATGATAAGTGAACATTGCAGTCAGACAGCTGTTTCCAGATGTTTCTTTTCAACAACACAGTGCTTTGCATTCAGAGTATCTGGAAAAGGTCAAACGTGACTGCAGCATGAGGAGGAGGGTGGTGTGGAGTCACAGTTGTGTGAGCTCCCAGCAGAGCAGGCATGTACTGCCGGAGCCAGTGGCCCCTACAGCCTCAAAGTCTCCCTCTCTGCTTCCTTCTCCTCAGGCTTCCGGCTGAATGCCTCCTCCTGGCCCATGTTCCTCCTGAAGACTCTGAATGGAGCAGAGATGGCTCCTGTCCGGATTTTTCACAAGGTATTTTACCGTTTGTGCAGATCCTTCTGGCATGGCCACCTCGCTGCAGAGCACCCAGCTTCGAGCTGGTGTCTCATGAGAGATGTGCTGATGCCAGGGCAGTGGCATTGCTCAGCCCTGCCTTGGTGCCTTGTGCCCTCTCCAGCTGTGTTGTAGCAGTGTCAGGATGCAGCCAGAGCTGTGCTAAACGACCAGCCTGGGCTTCGGTGTCCGGGCTTGAGATGTGAGATTGCTTTTCACCAGGGCTGCGGGTGCTGCTCGAAGTGGGGCATGCAGGGTGGGGAAGTCAGCACCTCTCTGGAACTTTTTAATGTGCCAGAGCTTGCAAGTAGAGCAGATACTGCCGTGAGGCAACTGCATGAGTTCATAGGTTGTGTTCTCACACCCTTAGTGCAGTCAGAGAGAGAAGCCGGCCAGAGACATGTGGGATGGGATGGGATGGGATGGGATGGGATGGGATGGGATGGGATGGGATGGGATGGGATGGGATGGGATGGGATGGGATGGGATGGGATGGGATGGTTGGGTGAGGCTTCGGTGGATCTCAGGAGCAAGCCCCAGATAAGGGTGGATGGTGGGTCTCTCACGCGTCTCGCAAAGCTGAAGGTGGGGGTAGAATGATGGAGAGACACTGTCATATCTCAAGTTCTCCAGCTCTGAGATAGGAAGGTGAGGGTATCCTCTGGAGGCTCTTTCTTTGTAGCTCTGTTTTCTGCCTGTGGTGCATGACAGAGCTGTTGTAGGGCACAGTGTTCATGTGGCACATCCTGGGTCTGGTCCAGCAGCCAGCTGAGGGCAGAGCAATCTGCAGTGGATTTGTTGCCTCTGGGTTAAGGACATGGGGCTGTGTAGCTCAGCCAGAGTGTTGTGGAGTGAACCCCACACCTGTTGGGCTTCAAATCCAGCCCACTAACTCTGTTCAGTGGAGGTGAGTTTGCTGATGAGGGCACAGCCCTGTTCTGGGGAAGCACTGGCATGTCCCCTTTGAGCACATATTCTACTTCTCCTTGTAGGAACCACCATCTCCATCCCAAAACTTCTTCAAGACAGGTATGAAGCTGGAGGCAGTGGACAGGAAGAACCCTCACTTCATCTGCCCGGCCACCATTGGGGAGGTGAGAGGTTCTGAGGTCCTCATAACATTTGATGGCTGGAGAGGTGCCTTCGATTACTGGTGCCGATATGATTCCCGGGACATCTTTCCCGTAGGCTGGTGCTCGCTGACTGGAGATAATCTGCAGCCCCCTGGTACAAAAGGTAAGGCCCACGTTGTTGCTTAGCTGTCTTCCTCCTCCACTCAGCTCTCTAAACGCAGCACAGCAGGCAGAGACTGGCAGCAAGGACACCTGGGTGCCCGGTCTGGCTTTCTTGTGTTGCTTCATGCATGGTAAAGCCACGTGTGATCACACCCACGGCACTGGAACAGCCTGACTGGAGGTGCTGAGGAGCAGCTATCCGTAAAGATGGGCAGGATGATGGCTCTGGGGAGGGATGGTGCTGTACAGACACTGCTGAGGTTTGCTCTGCTCCAGGAATTTCCTTGGAGTCTTTCCTGCGCCTTTGAATCACATATTCCTGTGGAGATTTTTTCAGGGGCACTGGAATAATGAGAACTGTGGGGTTGCAGGAATGTGCCTGTTTGTACTTGGGGCAGTTTCCTTGCTCTGCCTTGTGCTGTGAACGTGGGAAGAGCAGGTGTGGAGCAGATGTACCTGCCTTGCTCACAGTGACTGTGGGGTAGGAGCGGGACTGGGGGCCTTGCTGCCTTGCCAAGGCCTGAGCAGTGGCTGTGTGGACTCTCAGATGTGTCTCTGGCTTGCTCACATTGCAGTTGTGTCAGGCCCAGGGGGAGCTGTCACAGAGCACATCCGTCTGGTGTTTGCTGGCTGGTGAGCCCTGCGTGTGCCTGTCACTGAAATGAGGGGCAGGGGAGCAGCCTCGCTACCAGAGCTGAAGGATTGCTGAGGAAAGGCATTTCTCTGATGAGACTGTTCCTCTGGAAAACCCAGGGTCAGCTGGTGCTGCTCTGTGTCCCCTGGCGTGTCCCAGGGCTGTGCTCTGTGCTGCCAGGCTGGTGTCAGTGGATTGCCTGGGCTCATCTCTCTTGTCCTGTGTGCAGGCCAAGCAGAGGCTCCCCTTGGGTGGGATGATTCCTGTTTATTTCCTATTTCTGCGTTTTGCCTTGGTGTTCCCAGCCTCTCCCTCTCTTCCTGCTGTTGTCTATGTCCTGCCTGCTGCTGCCCTGAGGGCTCTGCAGAGCACTGGAGCCCTCCCAGCCGGTTCCTCACCCCTCCAACAGTGCCCTGGAGTCAGGGGCCCTCACCTGGCATCTCCAAGGTGCTTCTCAGGTACTGCACAAGTGGCTAAAGACATTTGTGCTGGTGGGAGCTTTCCTGGCAGTAGACTGGGGGTGAAGGGTTTCAGAAGCACACCTTCCTGGTAGAAGTGGGAACATCCATCTGTCCCGTGGCCACTGGCACAGGAAGCTCTCTTCCTGCCCAGCCTCCCCATGCCAGGGCTGAAGCTGTGAGTGAGCAGAGCCCAGTTAATCATCCAGAACCAGCATCCCATGGTGGGGTAACTTGGAGGCCTCCTTGGAAGCACGTGCTTCCCCCTTGGCAGTGGCAGGGACAGGTTCTCCCTTTCACATCAGCTCCATCGGCAGCGACTCTGCACGTACGTGAACAGTGGCCTCCGAAAGTCCTGGCTCCCCACTCTCAGGAAGAGGCAGCCCTCACTCTCAGGCAGATTTCTGCTCTCTTTCCCCTTTTTTTGAACTCCTGAGACAAGAGCAGGCGTTGGCAGGGGTTACATGAGCCATGCAAAAATGCCATGGAGTTGAGATCAGCCTTGTCTTTGTGGTATTTTACTTCCCCCTCTGTGGCTGTTGCCTCCCTTTCCTGCCCAAGACTTTCCGACTTCCACTCTGTGGGATTAAACCAAAAGAAAGGATTTCTGGGAACTTTCTCTCCTTTAATGAAATTCCTCCCTTGTTTCCTCACTCCTCAGCCCTGCTGTGGAGGAGGGTTGAGCATGCTCCTCCCAGACCTGAGAGTGCTGCTCCAGTAAACCTTCCTGTGCCAGCCTGGAGGACCATGCAGTGGAGCCAGGCAGTTCCCCTTTCCTGGTGGGAATTCCTCTGAAATCAGGGAGACCTGGAGAGACGTGCAGGGGATCAGTCATGGTTATACCAGTCTCTGCTCACACACTGAACTGACTGTGTGAGGTCTCGTGGAAGTTGAGAAATCCTGGGAAGAGTTAACTCCATGGAGACTGGTGACTTCCTGGGGCTGAGCAAAAAGAGGCCTCGTGGGATGAGCTCATGTTCAAGGGAAGCAGAACTTCAAAGAGGGCTGGCTTGTTTATTTACTGCTGGTAACTTCATTCAACTCTAATCTGTCTCTGCTGCTGGTTGCCAGTGGAGGTGGAGGAGTGCAGGGCTTCTCCCAGGCACAGCCTCTCTCCAGCTCCAGGGCCTCCCACTCCCACCAGTGTCTGCTTAGCTGGGGTGGCTGGGCAGGGTACTGGTGGAGCTGGGGCTGGCCAGCCATGCTGAGGGGTGCTCTCCTGAGGGCACTCCAGTGTGTGTGAGGGGAGGAAAGGGAGGTCAGGTGGCGAGGAAGAGCAGCCTGAATGCCAGCTTGGTCATTCCACTGCTACCTGCTGGCTGTGCAGCAGCCTGCTGGGAGAGCCTGTCCTGTCTGGATGCAGCACCCCTTGGAGCTGGGGGTTCCAAACCAGCACGTGAGCCAGGGGAGATGCAGCTCTGGGGGTGCCTCCTCACACCGTGGGTCCTGGGCACGTCCCCGTGTCAGCCTCGGGCCGGGGTTGGAGGTCAGCTCTGCTGGGCTGCAGAGCCAGGTGGAATGTGGGACAGCTCATCCTGTGCATCCTCAGCTTCTCCACGGGGGCAGGCAGGTCCCAGTGGCCATCCCAAAAGGAGGGGCAGCTCTGTGGGAGTGCAGCAAACTTCCTCCAGCATCCCACCCACACCAGCAGGGCGCCCTGGGATTGTCCACTGGCCAGGAATCCCCACTCCACTCCTCATACGTGGTGTACAGCACCTTACCTGGCTTTTCATGCCTCTCACACACATGCTTTTTTACCCTTAAACATGCATCTGGGCTTTTAGGAACACAAGGTGAGGTGGACTCTGTGTTAAGCTGCATTTGGGGACTGGGAGCTCTGCTCAGAGGGCAGGCTGGGCAGTGGCAGCTGCTGCACTTGCCTTGCTCAGGAGCTGCTCAGCATTTTTTTTTACTGTTTCTGAAAGAGCTGTTTGCATGGTCATTCTTACTGAGTCAGGCACTCATCCTAGAGAAATACTGGCTGAGAAATATTTATCACAGCACAAAGACATAAAGCAGCTGAATTAAGGTTGCATGGGGCACTGAACCCCTTCAGACTTCCTGCAAAGGGTTTGGGCTTTCTGTTGTAGAGTTTTAGAATTAGGGCAAAACAGAGAATGATGTTTCCCCGTCTTTAGATGTTGCACCACACAAAAGCAAGGCCAAAATGCACTGTGTGCACATTACTAAAAACATGGATTTTTGTCAGCAGAAGGCCCTGAAGGTGTGTTGGGTGGGGAAGGAGTTACCCACCCTTGCCAGGTCTGTGTGCTTTCACACAGTGACCCAGCTGCCATCACAGCAGGTACAGGCAGGAGGTGGCTGATGCTCCTCAAGCTCAGAGTTTCAAGGTTTAGATGCTGTGGTGCACATGAAGAGTGCACGAGTCTGTGCACTGCAGCAGTGTTTGGTGGGAGAGTGATTTGAGAGGAAAGCAGAGATTGAAGGAGGCAAATGTGTGTGTCAGGTGTGGTGGATTGTCCTGGGGGGCAGCTGAGCCCCCCCAACCACTCACCCCCCCAGGGGGATGGGGGAGAATCAGAAGGGTAAGGGGGTGAGAACTGGTGGGCTGAGATACAGACAGTTTACCAGGGGAAACAAAAGCTGTGGGTGCAGGGCCAAGCAGGCTCTCAGTCACTGCTCCCCACTGCAGGCAGGGGCTCAGCACCCCCAGGACAGTGACTGGGGACAACAAACACCATCCTTCCATCCCCCTTCCTCCTCCTTTCCCCAGCTTTACATGCTGAGTGTGGGGCCCTCTGGGCTGGGATATCCCGTGAGCAGTGGGGTCCCAGCTGTGCCCCCTCCCAGCTCCCTGTGCCCCCCAGCCCAGCACTGCCCAGAGCAGGGCTTGGCTCTGTGCAGGCCTGGCCCAGCAGAGCTGAGCCCTGGTGTGTTGGAACCCTGGCACAGCAGCCCCCAGCTGTTGGTGCAGAGCATTAACTCAGCCCAGCCAGACCCAGTGCTTTTGAAAAACTTTTGCATGCATTTTACTTTTTTTAACCTTCCTGGTCCTTGAGGAATCTGTGGGCTCTTAAACAGGACAGAAACAATCCTGCTCTCAGGTCACTGCCATAAGTGGAGCATGGACTGGGGAAGCTGCTTTGGAGAGTCCCTCTCCATCACGAGCACTACAGAAAATCAATAGTTAGGATTGACCTAAAGAATAAGGATTGTTGTTTAGTTACTTTAAATCATGGCTGGGGAGAAGGAGAGAGAGAGAGAGAGAGAGAGGCACACAGAAATGGAGGTGCTGCTGCTGAGCTTCAGGGAAACAGAGAGGGAAATAACTGTGATAAAAATCAGTGAGAAGAAAGAAGGAAGAGATAAGAGGCTGGTTAATGATTGTAGTTTCCAGGGCCACCTGCCCTCAGCTGGGAGGTGGGATGATGGAAATCCCCCTCAGCCAAGGCATGGTCTTGTAGAGAAATGTGCCTGCCTCTGTAATTCATGGGAAGTGGGGAGTTCACAGCCCATCACAGGCCAGAGGAAAGTTCAGTTCTTTGTAGTCAAGGAAGCACACACTGGAAGAGGATCCGTGAGAAGTTTTTCTCCTTTCTGAAGTGGTTTGTGGGATGGAGAGTTGTGAGCACCTGGGGGAAGAGAAACCAAAGCAGGGTCTTCTCAGGTACCTCTGTGAGGCAGCTTCCAGCTCTGAGCCCTTCCCCTGGGGAGATGGTGCTCTGGAGGCTCTGTCTCTGCACAGGGCTGGGAGAAGGGCCTGGGCAGGCGGGGTTGGGGCTCACTGTGACCTGTGACTGTGAGGATTTCTGCAAGATCTGGGTCTTTGCACAGGAAAGCAGGTAGGGTTCATATTTAAACACCAGCTTTAAGTTTTGAAGAAACACATGCATTTTTCTGGGGTTTCTGCCACAGTATCAGGAAGTTAGATGGGATTTGTTTCAAAAA